TGGCACTCCTGCATGTTTCAGTCTTGTTGCCCGCAGTACCTGACTTGAAAGTATCCTGGTCGATGGATAGGTAGAGGGGGACCAATTGCCTGGCCTTAGTCCTCACCTTATTTAAATCCATTGGATTTCTACTTGTGGGGCCACTTAAAATCGTTGGTGTATTCCACTCCAGTGGATGATGTGGAACCTCTCCAAAATCAAACTGTAGTGGGTTTCAGACAATATGCAATATGCCAGGAATTTTGCATCATCTTAGGGTGGCAGTGAGACGTCGAGCAGAGGCCTCTTTCAGGTAGGAGGTGGACATTTAGAACATTTACTGTAAGGTAATGTGAAGAGCTTAGTGTCATAGACAGACTTTATAAACTCAGAAACTGTGCATTTCCGGATCTATGTTGATACAAACTCTTTTTATTATCTACATATGAGCACTCTGTATATATAAAAAAAGAACATACCACTGATGAAGCTTAAGAATTTACCATTCAAAACAGAAATTTCTATTAAATGGTTAGACACTAATGAACAATAAACTACTGGACACCTTGCAGCATGTAATATACAAAATTTAATACCTAAACAAAGTATTTAAAATATAGCACATATATGGCAAGCAAAATTTAATGAACTGTACAAAACGAAAATTACTTCTAATAGTTGTTTACTAACAGAAGCAGGCAAAAGAAAAACAGTGGTAATAACAAACAAACCAAATTTATAGGAATAAATACACAGTTTATCAATGATAATCAAATTAGCATGCTGCAAAATGATCTCACCCAGAAAATGCAGAGGCAAATCCAAAACAGTACAAAACACATGCAATTCTAATTCAAGAACAAGTCAAGGAAGAAATCTTATAAATGAATCCTAGAGAGCTGAGCGTATAATTAAAATACAAATGTCAACCAGTGTAAGATTCCAACTTCCCTCAGAGTATGCATATTTATTAGGCTCATTTCTTGATACTGGCTGAAACTCAACTGGTGCACTGTCTGCAGTTCTGATTCTAGGGTTAAATTATTCCTCACACTACTCAAACTTACAACATATCTTAGGGAATTTTGGTACCAAGCAGTTGCTTCTTTACCTTTGCTGTTTCCACTTGTTTGTACCAGCTTTCTGAAACATATGAGGGTGATTCAACAGGTATCTGCACTTTCATTCCATATGCAGACGGTACAAGATAGCCTGATGGAAGTTCACAGCTCCTGGTCCCATCAGATGACACATCAATACACTGCCCAGATGACCTCTGATGCAGTAAGCAAGCTGTGGCAAAGAAGAGAACATGAGTTCATCAAAAAAGAACAATTGGCCAAGGTTCTCTTGTGGGTGGGGGGCAAAAGATGTTAAAGGGGTTGAAATTCACAAAGGAATAAAAGCCCAATAGAGAACAGAGTGTGTTTCAGTGGACAGACCTGTTTGCATGAGGCATGACAAGAGAAACGATTGAGAATGCTTGTAGTACCACACCACAGCAGTAAGTGATGACAAACAAACAGGAACAAGCCACAGCTGTGATCCTCAAGAATGGACGAATATCAGTACAGGACAGTGCATCAACACCAGACATCAGTAAGAGTTCAGCTCATTTAACAGTGCAAAATATTCTTGGTTTCCACAAAGTCTGTGCAGGGTGGGTTCTGAGCAAATAGACAGAAGAGCACATAGGCATGATGAGTTCTCATCTGCTGGAGTGGTACCATAATGAAGGCAACAATTCTTTTTTTATCACATCACTTATAATGATACTTCCATATACCATCAAGAACCACAAATCACACATCAGAGTACGCACAAGTACTTGTCCACTCCTGCTGCCAAATAATTCTTGACTCAGCCATCAGCTGGGAAGTTACTGCTGACAATGTTATGGACCTCTCAAAGTCCTATCCAACATTACTGGGAATGTGGCATTACACTGACAGACGCAACATATTCTGACATTTTACGAAGTGAATTGAGGCCAGCCATCCACTCCAAATAGACAAGGCAGATTACTGCAATGTGCTTTTTGCATGATACTGCTCCTAATCATTCTGTTTCCCAACCTAGGAAAATCCTTCAGGAGCTGAGATTTGAAGTGACCATCCAGCATATAGTCCACACCTTCAATCTTCAGATTTCTTTCCATTTGGACCTCTAAGGGGTCTCACAGAGGTCATCAATTTGTAGACGATGATGAGGAAGCAGTGCATGACTCGCTTTACACTTGGTCCAAAGAGTTCTATTTTTCTAACAGCATCAGAAAGCTTGTGGACTGCTGTACAAATGTTCTGAGAAGCAGGGAGACTATATGTATACACAAGTAAAAAATTAGATAGAAACATTTTATAATCATTTTCATACACTGCTGGTATATCCCTCTTTCTCTCTTCTGCAAAGTCTTTGCCTCAGTTCAAGCACAAATGACCTGGTACTGGAAATGAATGTTCCATTTATACAAAAACAGCATTAACAAGTCAGTCGTTTTAGCAGAGACATATTGCTTTCCTATTAGGTATGAACTGAATTTCTATACAATGTTCAGAAGAAATTCAGTCTTGAAAGCGTTAATTTTTATTCACCACATCAACCAGATTATATTATAAATTTATTAATATAATGTGGAATTTTCTGTTTAGCCTTTCAGTGAACATACCTTCTGGACCACTTCCACTAACATCCTGTGACCACATCATGCATTCATCTTCATCAGCATCATAGACTCCCAAATTAAAATGTTCACAACTGTTAGGAACACTG